TTGTCAATGGTCACCACCTTCGTTAGCATATCTGCTGGGTTATTGCTTCCTACAATCTTCTTCAAAGTCAATACTTCATCCTCAAGAAGAGATCTGATGAAATGATACATTCTCTTTCTGAGTGAAACCCAACTCTGCTAACAATCATTGCAGCCATATCAATTCTTTACTGGCTTCTGTCACTATTACATACTCAGCCTCTGTAGTGGATAGAGCAATAATCTTTTGTATCCGCAACATCTAACTAACAGCTATAGCCCCGACAGTGAAAACATAACTGGTGGTGCTTCTTCGATGATCAACTTCACCTCCGAAATCTGCATCTACGTAGCCCTGTAACTTTAGATCTCCTTTTCTAAAGTACAAACATTTTTCTGTTGTGCCCCGTAGATGTCTCAAAATCCATTTGACTGCTTCTCAATGAGCTTTTCCTGGATTTGACATAAACCTGCTCACAACTCCCACTACATGGTCAATATCTGGCCTCGTACAGACCATCGCGTACATCAAACTTCCAGTGGCTGAAGTATAAGGAATCTTAGCCATGAACTCTTCTTCTTCTTTTGTTTGAGGAGACTGATATAGACGAAAATGGCTGACCAAAGGTGTACTGACTGGTTTGGCCTCGTCCATGTTAAATCTCTGCAAAACACGGTTGTTGTACTTTGTCTGAGATAACTGCAAAATTCTCGTTTGCTTATCTCTCGTGATTTTCATTCCAAAAATCTTCTTTGTTGGGCCTAAGTCCTTCATGTCAAATTCTTTTGACAGTTGCATCTTCAAATTTTTGATGTCTCTCATATTTGATCCCGCTACTAACATGTCATCGACATAAAGTAGCAATATGATATAGCTGGACTCATATTTCTTGAAGAAACAACAGTGATCAGCATTGCACTTCTATAACCTTCCTTGTGCATGAAGCTTTCAAACTTCCTATACCACTGTCTTGGAGCTTGTTTCAGGCCGTACAAGCTCTTCTTCAATTTGCACACCATATCCTTCTTTCCTTCTGAAAAGCCTTCAGGCTGGTGCATATAAATCTCCTCATCTAGGTCTCCGTGAAGAAATGCAGTCTTCACGTCTAATTGCTCCAGGTAGAGCTCTTCACTAGCCATAATACTTAACACCGTCCTGATAGTATTGAGCTTTACATCTGGAGCAAAGATTTCAGTGTAGTCAACTCCTTCTTTCTGTTGAAATCCTTTGACAACCAGTCGGGCTTTGTATCTCCTGGAACCATCATGATCTTCCTTCACCCGATACACTCATTTGTTGTGAAGTGCTTTCTTTCTCATGGGTAACTTGACTAGTTCCCATGTCTGATTTGAGATCGAGGAATTCATCTCGTCCTTCATGGCAAGCTCCCACTTACAAGCATTCGGGGTTTGACAAGCCTCCCAATAATCTTCAGGTTCTCCTCCATCGGTCAACAACATGTAGTCCATGTATCTCCTGTTAGGTACATGGGGCCGAGAGGACCTTCTCAATACAGAAGTTGGAGTAGAAGGTTCTGATTGCTCACCGATTTCTTCATTTGATTCTTCTGACTGAGGATTCCTTACTATAGGAATGTTTGAATATCTTCCACCTCTGCATAAACTGGCCCACTCGCTTCTGAGTTGTTGGCACTTCTGTTATGTCGGTCCTTGTACATCACTCTTTCATTAAAATGACATCTATGCAGCGGATCATCTTTTTGTTTTCATCATCCCATAAGCGGTAGCCAAACTCATCTTCACCATAACCAAAGAAAGTACATTTCTTTGATTTTGAATTAAGTTTGTTTCTACCTTGATCACTGATGTGCACGTATGCTACACACCCAAAAACTCTAAGATGTGAGAGTTTTACTTCTTTTCCGCTCCATACCTCTTCTGGTAACTTGTGATTCAATGGTACCGATGGACTTCGGTTGATCAAATAAGTTGTTGTGTTGACTGCTTCTGCCCAGAACTGCTTTGGTAGGCCCGACTGCACACGCAAGCTTCTGGCTCTTTCAGTCTACGTTTGACTCGTACGCTCAGCTACACCATTGTGTTGAGGCTTACCAGGCACGGTTCTCTCCATTATGATCTCGTGCTCATAGCAAAACTTCTTGAATCTGGTGGTTACGTATTCACCACCATTGTCGGATTTGAGCTTCTTGATCTTCAATCCTGTCTCATTTTCCACCATAGCTTTCCAAATCTTGAAAGCTTCAAATACTTCTGACTTGTGTTTCAAAAAGTAAACACATACCTTTCTAGAATGATCATCGATAAAAGTCACGAAGTATTGCTTCCCACCAACGGATGGGACAGTCGTTGGACCCCAAACATCAGAGTGGACGAGCTCAAGCTTCTCCTTCTTTGGGGTTCTTCTACTTGTCTAAAAGTTGACTCTCTTCTGCTTTCCAAGTATACAACCTTCACACATGTCAATTTCTACTGACTGGAGGTCTGGTAATTTTCCTTTTGAGTGAATGATCTTCATCCCTTTTTCACATATGCCCAAGTCTTTGGTGCCATAGATTGGGACTTTCATTTGTTGCAACTGCAATCAGATGACATGCTCCTTTGGTCTTGTATAGAGTACCTGATGCAGACCCTAGTAAGATATTGTCCGCTTTGGGCTACTTCCGCCACCCGCACGGCTTTGTTCTTGGCTGGGCTTCAATACACACCCACCAAAACGCGTCTTACTAGTGAAGGTATCCACATCCTCATATAAGGCCTGTTTCGTTTCCTTTCAAACCCGATGTGGGATGCGCTGCATCATCCACCCCCCTTGTGGGCCCAGCGGTCACCGCTGGCACATGGGCTGGCTCTGATACCAACTGATGTAGGGGAAGCTTACGAATGAGAAGGATAAAACGAGTAAACGAGATACTCTCTCGTAAAACACGTAAAACTCACAAAACTCAATCAATTCTTATTTCATATTCAACTGAATAAAACAATAGATGGGGAGCCCTTTAAATAAGACTCCTAAACATTATTCTGAACTTGTCCAACAAGACAAGATCTCTAATATTTAATTCTAACTTATTCTCCAAAATAATAATAATAATAATAATAATAATAATAATAATAATAATAATAATAATAATAATAATAATAATAATATTATAATAATAATAATAATAATAATAATAATAATAATAATAATAATAATAATAATAATAATAATAATAATAATAATAATAATAATACACCAGTACCACTCTTTCTCTCTCAAGCAATTGTCATCGCACGCTTTGAAATCTTCCAATCATCACCATGGAAGATTTTCGTGTAGCCTTCACTGGCTAGTTGGCCTACGAAGATTAAATTCTTCGTCAGGTCGGGAATATGTCTGACATTTTTCAATTCCCAAACTGACCCGTTCAACTTAATTTTTACTGCACCTTTGCCGACAACCTCACATTATTTCTCATTACCAAGGTAAACTTTACCAAGATTTTCAGAAACATAATTCTCGAATAGTTCCTTCTGTGAGGTAGCATGAAAGGATGCTTCACAGTCTAACACCCAAGACTCTTCTCTGTTCTCCAAAGAACATATCAGCGAATCTCCTCCAGAGGTTGAAGCAATATTTGCCTCTTCTTTTGTCTTCTGACCTTCGGTGCACTCTTGCACTGATTTCTGTAGTGCCCGGTCTTTCCACAATTCCAGCACTCGATCGACTTCGAGTTTTGGGAACTACGATGATTTCTGGACCTGGATCGTCTTCCCTTTGATTTGATATGTCTGCTTTCTTTGGTTGAACTTCTTCCTCTCGACTCTGTATGCAATACAGAAGAGGTTGATGGTTCACCCGACTCCCTCCGCTGGATCTCTTCACTGAGAACTAAATTTTGGACATCATCAAATCTCAACTTATTGTTTCCCGATGAGCTACTCACAGCTGTGACGGTAGCATTCCAGCTTTCTGGTAGGGAACACAAAAGTATTAAAGCCCGTACTTCATCATCGAACTCGATCTCAACTGAACTCAACTGGGTTGTAACTGTGTTGAGTTCATTGAGATGATTTGCCACCGGAGCACCTTCGCGCATCCGCAAGTTGAACAATCGCCTCATCAAATGGACTTTATTTGAGGTTGATGGTTTCTCGTACATGTTGGAAAGAGCCTTCATGAGGCCTGTCGTCGTCTTTTCTTTTGCAATGTTAAAAGCAACATTACGGGACAACGTCAGCCGAATGGCTCCAAGGGCTTGTCTGTCAAGGAGACTCCATTCTTCCTCCCTCATGTCCTCTGGCTTCTTTCCCGTAAGTGGTTGATACATATTCTTCTGGTACAGATAATCCTCGATCTGCATCTTCCAGAAGCCAAAGTCCGCGCCATCGAACTTTTCAATTTTTAATTTTCCTTCGTCTGCAGCCATCACTTTGACTCTGATCTGACGACTTCTCTGCCGGATTGTTTCTGTAATTTTTGTGAACTACCGTGTTTAAGAACACGTTGGTAGATAAATTTGTAGCGCCGACAAATTTGACACTATTCACGGAATAGTAACCACACAAAAAAAAAATTACAGAATTAATAATCTGGCTCTGATACCAGTTGTTGGGAAAAATACGCTGAAATTTCCATGAAGTCGGATCTCTAAAAGTGAAATAAAAAAGAAAAATTGGGCACACCATATTGATAACGGAGTTCAGCCAATAATGCCTACGTCTCCTGACTACTGCAGATATTTTATTAGGAGAAAAGAAAACAATCGTGTTTACAAAACACTCGCAAACTCACTCACAACTCGCAACACAAATACACACAGAAGCTAATACTACTCCCTCTTTTTTTTTTCTCTCTCTCTCTCTTGTATTTGGTTGTATGTCCTCTGAAGTTTGCTCCTCTATTTATACTGATGAATGCACCAAGTTGTCCAATATGGTGTACTGATTGTTCAATCTTTGCCTACTGATTTTTCAACAAAAATCAGCACCCCCGACAGCTGCAATTTTGTCAAAGAACAAATGGGGCTTCAAAATTGGTGGGCTAGCGGGGCTTACTTTTCAACAGAAGGAGTCTGTGAAGGAGCTAACGAGCTTAGGGGATCGTGCCGTTTTCTTGGGGAAGCACGGGAGCACGGCATGTTTTGCGGACGGGTCCTCCTCCTCATCTGGAGTGATCCGGAGGAACTCGATATATTATTACTGATGTACTGACAAGAATGTGTGATTGTTCTTTTATTGTTCTGTATTTAGATATGGATTTGGAGTTGTTCTTGTTTCTTGTTCAATTTGTGATCTTTCAGTACTTTATCAACATATAGATAGATAGATATCCATTTGTGTACTCTAGTCTAGTCGAGTGCTTGCATACATGAAATAGTTTTCATGCTGACAATAGTTTAATGTGTAAGTTAATTTTGAACGTTGACTTGCAATACATCATCAAGTTTACTTTGTGGGAAAAATCAAGAATTTGTGAAAAGTTGTGGGAGTTCTCATCTCTTTTTACGTTTTATAATATTCTTTTCTTCTATTTTATTTGATTATTATACATTAAAGGTCTAAAATCAATATACACAAATATAATATCATCATATATCTCATAATGTTTGCTAGTAATGAATTCGTGCAAATACAAGGTTCAAACGGCTTTGCTATGAAGCCAACAGCTGGCTCCACAGTGGATTTAACCATCTATATACAACAAGTAAAAATACTATATTCATTGATTAATTAAATAACACTAATATAATTTTATTGATATGATAAGTTTACTTATTGTATATAGAAGGCTGACTCTACAATGGAGCCGGTTGTTGGTTTCGTAGCAAAGGGAGCAAAATGAAATTCACAACCAAATTCTCTGCATTCAATTACTTTGGTAAAGAAAATTACACCCTTCAAACAGCCCCTATTTTCATTGAAATCAATCTTCATCATGATGAAGACAACTGGTGGCATAAAGATTGATAGGCTTTATTACAATTCTTGAACTTTTCCTCTGCAAATGCCTGCTTTCGCAACATCATTACCATTATCTTAATACCAATTATTATAATTAATTACCAAAAAAAAAAAATACCCATTTTCATGTTTGTTCTAATTACACTAACTAACTTAATTATGCATGCATTTATATATGTACCTTAGATGAGTTATGGTGATGATCAGGATGCCATTTAAGTGCACAAGATCGATACCTGTAAATCCAAAAACTCGATTTAGTTATATATCAATCCACACAATCATGAATTGGGACGATAAATTCAACTCGATTTACGCGATTTTAACGTCTTCGAGATTTAACGGTCCGGCAGCAGGCAATCCAAGGGCTAATCGTTCATCACGAGCAGCACTCATATTTGGAAATGCCTTTTCAAACGATCTCCGTGAATACGACGACTGCTTGGAGAAATATTCAGTCCTTTCGTCAAGTGTTGGATAATTAGGATCATCTAGGCCTGCAAACAGTCTGGTACATTATAACATTTCTAAGAAATCTTAAATTAAAAATTCACCAATAATTTTTTGCAGACTTGTTCAAAATTCAAATACTGATTTCAGTCTCGACAAGATTTTGTTGAAGTAGATGAGGTGTTAGCCAAGCCTAGCCGATCGAGTAGCTAGTGTTTGTTTAACAAGATAAAAAAATGAGTTGTTCGCTCAGCAACATACTAAACTCGGATCTTGAGCTCGATTAGCTGCTCGAACACGACTAGTTTGAGTGAACGAACCGGCTCGAGCATACCACGATATCAAATTGATTTGATAAATGTAATGACATTTCAAGGAAGACTTACCAATGACTTGGAATCTTTCAAAAACAAATACATATTTTGGCTGCATATATATATATATATAAAACATCAATAAATAAATAAATAAACAAAACAAACAACAAAAATTTTTAATCACCACAAAAACAAATTATTGAAAACTTACTCTTGGCGGCCACCGACGGTAGCTTCTTTCCTGCAGTCACAAAACAAAAATTTCAGAAAGAATTAGTACAAATTTCACAATTATGATAAATAAAAAAAATAAGTTGAACAAAAATTAAAATAGGTTGAGACATGATTTAATTTGGAGAATGCTACCATCCCGTGACGGATGGTTCCGTTGTATTTTTAAGCGTTGGATTAACTACCCATCACTAGATTACATGTATATTATTATACATACAGGCCAATAAACGCGCTTCTTGCGGAAAAGAGGAGGAGTTGAGTGAAAAAATGCAGCCTTTGCTGGGAAAAAAATAGGGTTATTAGCCACTGCTACTACTTTCATGGTCGTGCCAAAATTCATCATACTGTAAGTTTTTTTTTTTTTTTTTTTNTTTTTTTTTTTTTCAAGCAGTAAAAATTATAAGTTAAAATTTTAAATAGTGTATAACTTTTTTAATATATATATATACACTAATTAAGAAGTAAGGTGTGACCATAAGTTGATGGTTACCCCTTTGCCAAGCTTTGTCAAATTTATGAAGGAAATGAGAGTGGTATTCGTTGTGGGAATTAATAAATTATTTATTAATTTGGATTTTAAGTTGTTTTAATTCTCTATTTTTTTTTTCCATATTTTGTACACAATTAAGTGCCATTATACATTATTAAACATATTAAAAAAATGCCTACTTATGCTTTTATTGCAAACGAGGGGCCGATTTGTGGTTGCCCATTTTACTTTTGTTCGCCCTGCTTCCGGTTGTCCGAACTCATTTTTGATCTATATATTTACATTTATCGATAAAAAAAAAAAGAGCAAAAAGTCACTAAAATGCACAAGTTCAATTAACATTTAAAAGCTGCAATAATGAAAATTGCAGCATGAAGATCATCTATTAAAACAAATTTCCTACAGCAACTGAACAAGTAAACAAATTTGATCGAGTTTTTATACTACAAAACCACCATGTCGAGATAAGGTTAAAGGCGGTAGCTAATCGAAACCGAGTTTATCACACAAAGACTGATAAGCTGAGCTGCATGCCTTGAATTTCTCCTCGGCAACAACCTGCAAAGAACAACAAATTAATATTTTGGAGCTCACTTTAGCGTCTTATATAAGTGGTGTTTGTGAGCTTAAGAGTCGAGACACATAAGAATTATCTGAAATCTAAATCACGCGTCCTCTTGTTCTTAAATTTGAGCTAAATCAAGGGGAAGCAAAAGTTGTCATCTCAAAACATTAATAAGTTACATTAAAAACTACTACTCTTTTCAAGCGATTGAAAACCAGCAGAATAGAAACATACAGGAATTGCTAGATTCAGAAAGAAAAAACTAAGAAAAATAAAAAAGATAACCTTGGAAGAACCCTGATGGCGATCTGGATGCCATTTCAAAGCACATGCTCGATATCTGGAAAGTATTCAAGTTATGTAGGACCTTATAAAAGGAAAAGGAAAAATAAATAAACGAACACATTGAAGAGTACTTACGCAGTTTTTACAT